AATAGGGGGGGACCTTCTAGTGAGGGGACCTACCAGAATTTACCCCAGTTTATTATCTAATAAGCATTAATGCTCTGTAATTTCAGAAAACTTGTGCTAAGTGGCTAAGAGGTGTTTTTTGCGCGACTGATGATGGTTATTTGTTATTGTTATGGTGTTATGTTCATTTATTTATAGAGCATTTCATTTGAAGGAGCAATTGGAAGTGTCAGTGTAAAATTACAGTTGGCTTTTTTTTTTCTCTCTTTGAGGCTTTTATGAGCCACGGTCTCTCTTGTACTGATCAATTAAAATTGTGTTCCAATGTAATCTGATAAACAGCAGTGCTGTGTAAATTTATTATTAGGGTCTGTTGTTTTTTAAAAGATGCTTTGTGATATGGACAGCTCTTTTACTCATCATTGGAATTTTGTAATGTAGTGCTCACATTGTATATGTGTAGTTTCAATCAGATTTGTGCAATTATTATGTAATAGCATGTAAATTCTTTACAGAGATATTTTTGTTTTAAAAAGCTAATCCAAGATTCTGGCAATCCTGGATTTTTTCATTCTGTGGTGAAATCTGTTCTCTCACATTATTTCAGTCATATGTCACTCACCAGCTATTGTACAATCCCAAAGTGAATATTTATTTTTGAGTACATGTGAACAAAATATGCATGTCAGAAGACCAAAATGCACACTAGATCTTAATATCTTTTCCTTCTCACTCTCTTGCATAGTGTCCAATTTTTTTAACCTTGACTGACAGCTGTGTTTAAACGTATATCTTTGTCAATTTTATGATTGCTTCTCTGTAAGAATTGTCTTTGTTCTCCCTCACCAAAACAACTTTGATAGCCAAAACACGTGTCTTCTACAGTCATTTGATGTCAGAATTGCTCATCTCAGATTCTTTGTGTTCATTTTGTCAGAATTTGCCGTTTCTCTTTAGCATAGATTTTTTTTCTCTTTGCATGTTGTTTGGGTGACATGTTTCTTCACCCCTACTAGTCACTTAACAGGGTCTGTTGTGTGTTTCATACTTTTTGGTGCTCCTCTCTGATGAGCAACTGAAACACGTCAAAAGAAACCCAGAACAATCATTATTGTGATCTGTAAACTGCTATGTAGCTGGTTTCATGTTAGCATCTGTGTTATACATGATTCTACTTGTCGTGATATCATTTAGGAGTCTCAGAGTGATCTTTGTGTGCATTTTGAAATTTGTGACATGCATGTTTCAGTTAAATAATGGTTTGTTGGGAGATTTGAAGAAAAAAAAAGTGTACTGGTTGAATGAGAAAAGTTTTAATATATTATGCAGAATAATTTATGATTTTTCTGCTGTTGTTCAAAGTTATATCCAGGGATATCATCCTTGTAAACAAATGATTAGTGCTTGGTACCAAACGTCAAGTAGCCTATCACCACTATCACAATGTGGTTTTGCAATCTTGTCAATACCTCATGTTCACTTGCTTTAATTCAGAACTTTAAAGGTTTGATTTAGGTTTTGGTTGTGTTGTTCGTTTTGCTGGAGCTTTAGCAAGTCAGCTCGAGTCTGAATATATGTGGGAGATTTAATCTAATCCTCTTCAGTATGGGGATTTGGTCCGTGTGCCATTGCAGATAATTTTGTATATTTATCAGTGGCATTATTATTAGCATTATTACCTGTCTTATTTTCTTGATTGGTTGTTTTGGATATTGTTGATATTACCCGTTTGCTCACAGTACTAAATTTTTGAGCATTGTTTTGACTCAGGCAAGAAAATAAACTGGCAAAATTATAACTTTGTTTTCATTTCTCTATTTGTACCTTTGCCTCCTACCCACATACCACAACTCAACAAATAGGAAAAAGAAAGTTAAAATAATAATTTTATTTTAATTGTTGAGCACAAACCCCTTCAGACAGATCATGCCATACAAGATTTTTGTTCTTTAAATATTCGTGTTTATCATTGTTACTTTTGTTTAAACTTGTGTTTAATTTTGATAAATTATTTGAAGACTAATTTCTTCAATGTCTACTTTTCAATTTTTAGCCCATTGATTCCTCTGATGACTCATTTTGGGATCAGTTGTGGTCTGAGCATACTGCCTCAGTACAAGATGTCTTCACTCTTCTTCCTGCATCTGAAATTAGAATGGTCAGAGAAGAATCCCCTCAAAATCTGGCCACCTTGTGTTACAAAGCTGTGGAAAAGCTTGTGCGAGCAGTGGATAACAGCTGCCGTACTCAGCATGATCAACAGACAGGTGCTTATATCTATTAGCAATCATGAATTGTTCTGTTGTTTGTTTGTTTTTTGTTTTGTTTTTTTCTCTTCCTTGTAATTTATGGATCTAATGCTCAT